AAAGCCAGGACAAGAAATTAATCAATGACATAAATCCCAAAAACACGGACTGTGGGACAGGAACTTGCAGCAATCTTCTAATTTTACAGAGAAAGAAATCCATCTAACAATGGGGCCAGAAGTTGAAGGCCCCTCGTACCTTTTATGATGATGTCCTTTTCCTGCAAGACTTTGCTGCATGGACCAGGGAGAAGGTGGGGTGAGGGTAGTAAAGAACAGGCAGGATGAGGAGGTCACTTCTTTCCCAGAGAATCTGAACCCAAGTTTTTGCTTATACACCTGATGATTCCTTCATCTAGAATACTCTCTGCTTCTCTTCCATATCCAAATTCTGCCAATTCTTCGAGACTCAGTTCCATTCCCACCACCTCTGTACAGCAGTTAGCATCGGATGAATATTTACTGCCAGCTAAGTATTACATTGGGCCTTTCACTATCCTCTCACATTTAATCTCTGTAACAGCCCTGCAAGGTTCATATTAATATCCCCATTTTGCAGATGAGCTGCAGCTATGCACCTAGCAAGTGGAAGAAGCAGGGTCTGAATGTAGATCTGTCTGATCGCAAAGGCTGAATGGTTTCTACTATGCCGTGTCACCTCCGTGACTCCAACAACTGAATCCAACTAACAGATCATGCTTTTCTTTGGAATTTTACTGTCCAGGGTCCGAGGCACCAAGGAAGATTTAATTAGACCCTGTATTGTCTTGTTCTCAAGGTGTTTTACATGTCTCAGTCTTATTTCTTCTATCTGAAAGCAGGAACCACATTTCTGTATCTTTCAGAATAAAGTAAGGCACTCTAAAATGCTTTTTAACTGAGTCCTTCTAACAGATTTTCCTAGAAAGCCTTGTGCATGTGGATAAAACATGCAGCTTTTTATTTTTCTACCTGGGGTTGGGTGGTGGGGTGGGAGGTGGGGCTCAGTACAATATATGGGAGAGGAGCATAGGCTTTGAAGTCAAATAAATAAAGGTTTAGATTCTAGCTCTGCGACTCACCTGTTCTGTAATCTTCAAGAAGTAACAGCTTCTCTGAATCTGCCATTTTCTGTGAAACAAGGAGCCTAACAATATCTCATTTGTAGGTAACCCTTTCAGGATGAAATGAAATGATGCATAGAAAGCACAGAGTGGGGTGCCTAGCACATAGAAAGAACTTGATAATGATTACTATTGTTATTATGCCACTTTTATTTTTTCCGGCTTGCCTCAAGTCCTAATGAAAAAAGAGTGGCCTGAGAGTTCTCAAGCTGGCACAATCTAACCAATATCCTGGGTCAGCAAAGCTGTGGAAGTGCCTACTCAAGCACCCAGCAGAACCATTAACTCCCAGGCCCTCTTCTGCAGTCCAGGGACCAGGCCATATGCATCCAACATCTGCCCTTACAGTTGGGCCTGGGCCCTTGCAGCTAGGCCTGGGCCTTGGCTGGGCATTGTAAGTGTCCAAAGTTTGTCATCAACTTGCTCAAGCCAAGGCAGGGGTCTGTCCAGACAGTTTGGTGCAATCACCCAGATCCTACTGCCCACTATGACCCCTCAGCCATGCTCCTACAATGCCAGGAATTCATCTAACCTCAATTACAGCAGTTCTTGTGCTGAGTTTTAATTTCGTTTCATTTCTGTGTCTCCAACTTGACTTACACGCCCAATAGCTTGCACAGTTCCCAACAGATTCAAAGGCTCAGGACACATTGATGAAATGAACAAATATGGGTGTGTGGGTGAAAAGAGGGGCTACTCAGACAGATGAAACTGAGAGTCTCTCTCCTTAGCTAATTTCCCAGTTCAGCTATCGATATTTGTGGGAATCTGTGGTCAAGTGTATAGCTTCTAAGGACCTCTCCAGCTTACCAACAACTTCCCCTCCCCGTCAATGGCTCCCACCTGACTCTGGCCTTCCCATAATGTCAAATCCTTTCACACACAGCAGGGCTCACAATATTTTTCCTTGCCTTGCGTCTGAGCATATACCTGTGCGTCTTCCCTACACACAGATAGCTCCCAGAGCCTCTTTCCTCTGACTCACTGACATTCTAAGCATATCCAGCCACACTTTACCCCTAAAATCCAAGAGCTTAGAAGATGGGATTGGGAAAGTCAAGCAGCCTTGAACTCATTGCAGAGCTCCCTCCGGTTATTCCCCTATCAGGTTGTAGCTGCATCTAGCTGGGTTCAGCTACACACAGAACATCCCCCCTCCAGCCCTTCATGCTGGGGATCTGACAACACCTTGAACCTCATCTTGTCTCCTACCTTTTCCTGACAGTCAACTTCAGGGTCAGCCCTGAGCTACCATCCAGGATAGCATCAGCCAAGCCCTCTTCATAGCTGTGGAGGACAGGGTGCTGATACCACCGGAATTAAAGACCTGGCTGTGTAACATCCCTATCCAGGTGCTCTCGCTCAAGCTTATCTATGTTATTTGTCTGATCACCTGTCTTCCTCTTCCATTGCCCAGGAGCTCGGAGAGACTGGACCCTGGCTTACTTTTCATCTCTATGGTCTCAGCATCTAGCAGAGCACCACACTGTAGGGATTAATGGATCTTCGTTAAATGAGTAAATATGAAACTGGCCTTATGTTCCCCTCACTTCTCCCCTCCCCACCCCAAACATCACCCCAGTCAAACAGACTGAGAACTGAATTTTTCTACTTCTCCCTCTCTGACTTCCTAAGAATTTCTTTTTCTAAAGACAAAGGGATGATTCTCACACCACAGCTCCTGCATGATCTTGAAGATCTCAGAGTGCCTCTGGCCTCCAAAAAAGCATGAGGGAGAAGAGTGGAGCCAGAGGTAGGAAACAAGTTGCAATAGACTGATCAGAGCCTTGGTATCCTGTCTCTCACTCACCACAGAAATCAGACCCTCCTCTGACCCACCTACCTCAGAAATGCAAAGCCAGAACCCCACCCCCAGCTCTCAGCCACCTCTTCAATGTGTGCCTGAAAGAACCAGCCCTTGTGAATGCAGCCAGTGCAGCCCACAGGGAGCTGGCTAGGTACAATTGGAAGGTCTTGCTCTGGCTCTCTGGGGAGCTAGCTCCTCCCTCCATGTGCCTTGGTTTATTTCTCCGTAGTCTTTCTGATGCCAAACAAGGGGGTGAGGGGTGAGATTCATTGCACAAAACTGGGAAATATGTACATTGTTATCAGAATCCCCCACTTCACCTGAGCTCCAATCAAGCATTTCAACATCAGAATCTTAACCCAATCAGCTCTCAACAACGGCTGCAGGTGATGCTTTCTCCCTGTACCAGGAAAAGCTGGCAGCCCTGAGGCACTGATGCCAGGGAAAGCTTCCAGCCCCACCCCAACTCATGCTGGAGAGGGGACGGAGAAGGGTGACAAAGCAAGGGGCAGCCAGTCCCAGCAGCACATCCCCTTGCCGGCACTGCCTGAGGCCCCTTCAGAGTTTACTGCATAGGAGCTGAAGGAGTCCAACCACTTGGATTCCTAGAGTGAGAAAGCCTTGCAGAGAAGGGACAGGGTCTGTCTGCAATTTGCTCTTAATGCCCCAATTTAAGCCTCTGGGTTTCGTCTGAGGCCCCCAAGACAGGAATTGGGCTGCCATTCCCTGTTTCACAGTGGCAACCACAATTTCTGGGGCTAAGTGGGAGTGAGCCTCTTTCCTTATTGGCAGCATAATTCTCTCTCTCTCTCTCTCTCTATATATATATACACACACACGCGCACACACACGCGCGCGCGCGCGCGCACACACACACACACACACACACACCCCTTCAGTTGAATCCAAAGACAAGGGGAGAAATTACTCCCTCCGAAGTGCCAGCTCAGTCAAGACAAAAGGTGAAATGTATTAGCTGCTTAGCAGGCCCCTGATCTCCTTCAGTTCTTCCTGCAATGCAATTCCACCACATCCAATCATCCCCAAACCAGAAGGAGGATAGATCTCTGCCTGTCTTCCTCCACTACCCCCACCTCACAGTTGGTATGGCCCCTATCCCCAGAGGCTTCCAATCTTCACACACATTTTCCCTGGGCTATTCTCCTATTGCTTTAAGTTCTGTGGGCTCTGAGCCTGGCTTTGGATCCACACAAACAATTAAACTCCTGTCTAACCAGGTCTCAAAGCCCTGTGGCTTGCCCTTGCCTTGCTGGAGATTTGATTGCGGCCCAGCAGGGCCCAACACATTTCCAAGGGTAGATGAGACATATTAGGCCCTCATGCCAGCGACACAGGCAGGCAGAAAAGGCGTATTGTCGTCCTCTCCCCCACACTGAGGGAGGAGGCATCTCTGCTCAACACACACACACACACACACACCACATGCCAAAATGCCAAGGAAAGAGTCAGGAGCAGAACCTGGCTGGGGACAGGATGGGGGCTGCCATGGGGACCAGATTCTAGGTGATTCAGCACTCTGCCCACTCTTGGCCCAGCCCATGGGCCACACTCATGACAGCTCCAGATGCCAAAGTGCTGACTTGGAGGCTGAAGCAGAATCTTTTCTAAAATCCAAAATTCTCCAGCCCTCCAGCAGGGTTCCTCGTTCAGGCCCTTACATCAGGGCTCAGGCCAAGCCCTAGGAGGAGTCTGCTCAGTCATTCCCCTGGACCCTGCCCCTTCCCCATCCTAGTTTCCCAATGCCTAGCACCCCCTCCCCCAATTCATCTAGGAAACAAACCTGAACAGCTAGAGTACCGGGGCAGCTGCATGGCTGGAGAGGAACATAAGAGAGAGGCCTACTAACCCCCAGCATTCTTCTTCCCCAAGCCACAAATAGGATCAAATACGCAGAAAGGGGTTATATTCCACAACTGAGATCCCCATGCAGGGAAGGAGGGTCCAGGGACCACTGAGGGAGGGCTGAGTACAGGCTGTGTGGCTCCATACAGCACCAGAAAGCGCAGTGAGGAAAGGTGACGGGTGTCAGGCCAGCTAACAGCCAAACAGGGAGAAGGCGGGGTTCTTGAGAGGGACTGTGATGCGGGAGGACACCAAGAGGCAGCTGGGAAGGGGCTGGGACAGGGCGTGCACAGGGGGACTGGGGGAGGACAGGAACTGTGAGGGAGCGAATGGAGAGACAGGACACCAATTGGTAGGGGCATGAGATGGGTAAGAGAATAGGGGAGGCAATAAGGGGTTGATGTGTGCGGTAGGAAAAATAGGAGGCATGGGGTCATCCAAAGCGGGGTGTCGAGGTAAACAGAAGTACAAGGGCAGGCAGGGCTCACGGACGAGGCGGGGACAGACAGGAAAGGGAAAGGGTTGAGGATGCGGGAAGGGGGAGGGGACGCGGCCAACGAGATAGAAAGGGTGTTGGGGTGGGCAAGGGGCTGGTAGTTGGACGGGGATGGAGTGGGTATATGGACAGAATCGGATGGATTCGGGGCAGGTGACAGTGTGGAGAGGGGAAGGGATGGGAATGTGGACGGAGGGGGAGGGGGACAGGTCAGGGGATGGAGACAGAGAGAGGAGGGCGGGAACAAGGGGGTGTCGCTAGGTGGGTTTCCATGATTCTCTACCCCCATCTCTCCGGTGTTCGCGCTCGCCTACCTCCAAGAGCTCGGGCTCCGGCCCTGGGCGCTGTCTGAGCTGTCCGCTGCCGGCGCCGCCACTTCCCCCGCGTCCCCTGCAGCGCCTCTCGCCGCCAGCCGCCGCATTAGGGCAGAGACCAGCCCGTGCGCGTCCCCGGGCGGCCGGCGCGCCCCCGACAGCCTGCGTGCGCGCCCCCACGCCCCTCCCTTCGCGCGCCGAGCGGCCGCGGAGCGGGGACCAGGACAGAGGCGGAGGGAAGGATGCTCCGGACGCAGCCCCGCCTGGCGCGCTGGGGAGCGGGTGCGCAGAGCCAGGGCCGGAAAAAAAAATCTTCCTTTCTCTTTTCACCTGAGCTCTCTTTGCAGGCTCGCCTTGAGAGTGATAACAACTCGTCTCCCCCGTTTCCGTTCGCTGAGCACCTACTACGTGCACAACACACAGGAGGAGGTACACTGAAGCCCCAGCAGGATCGCGTGTCTGTCCCTCCACCACAGACTGTGACTTGAGGGAGCAGGAAGTTGCTGGACAGCTTGTGTTCTCAGGGCCTAGCACAGAGACTTGTTTGTGGTAAACTCTCCAGTAAAGTTTGTTGATTGGCAAGTCGTTGGATCCTGATTCGGGGATGTGAGAGGTTGTGACTACTATTAACAGTGAGGGGCTTTCTTTTAAAAATGAGAGATTTCCTCTGTCCTAGGGGGACTCAGGCCTCAGTCTTGGCTGGAGAACTATCTGACATGACAGCAAGACGTTTCTCTGTGGACCTCAGTTTCCACAACTGAACCATGAAAAGTTGATTGGGTGGTCGCCCAAGGTCTCTTCTAGCTCTGACATGAAGACTACATTAGGTCCTGACTAATGTGCACAGGACCTGAGCTCAGAATTATCACCTGAAATAGTGGAAAGATCCCAATTAGGGAATCATAGAATCTTAGTCTTGGAAGAGTACTTGGAAGCTTCTAGTTCAGCTCCTCATCCAAAACTACAGTGCCCTGCAGCACCCCTCTGTGGCCCCATTCAAGGACTAGTTCCTTTCTCTGTGCTCATAGCTCCTACCCTGGCACCACTGTCCTTTATTCTGGATGAGAACACCAAAGTTCAAGGAACCTGCCCAAGTAATAATTGAAAGCCCAGATGCATCTGACAGTGCCTAGTTAAAACTACTTTGCTATTTTAAGATGGGCCCTAAGATTTTTGGATTTCACCACTACTAGAATCTTCTAATATGGTCAAGTTGAAGGATCACAGGATTTGCCAAGAAAGTCCTGGGTTACCAGCAGGTTGAACTTGGGCAGTTCACTTAACCTCTCTAAGTCGTCTTTTTCCCATCTGTAAAATGGGGTTAGAGTGAGCATCAATGAGATAAGGCACTGAACCAAAATGTTCTTTACAAATGTTAATTATTGTTCAGCCTTCCCTCCCCTTTCTTCATTATTTTTAAACAGCAAATACACGAAGACCTAGAGAGATAGAAGATCACACAGTGGTTTGGTGGTTGAAACTGAATTGGGACTCAAGTTTCATGGCCTTAGTATAAAGAAATCGAGTCTGGGCCTGAAGGGCGCATGGAGACCCCCAGAGGTCCTGAGGGTGAAGGTGTTTCCTTGGGCTCGGTGGTGTCCTAGAGCTGCAGGCAAGTCCTGATGCAGGGAGAGGCACCCCCTGCCGGTGATAGACTCTGGGGACTAAGAGGAGCCTAGGCACCTTGCAGGCTGTTCTGCTGCTGTGTCAGGAACAGACTCACTCAGGACCGAGGGCAGAAAGTGGTTGCTTTTTTTCTTTCCTGACATTTATCTGGCCTTCCTGCTTCTTTTTCTTCCCTGGGTTTGCACCTCTAGTTCTGGCTGGAACCCTCAGCAGGCATGGACTTTCAACCCAGACCTGAAACCCCACTCACTGTGTCCTCTGTCATAGTGAATGGCAAGTCACAGGATTTTCACATTCCCTAGTGTCTCATTCCTCCCAACGAAATTCCATAAGCCCTGCCTCATCCTGGGCTCAGACCAAGAGAAAGCCCCAGGCATGAGTCTCAGGCACTTGAAGCCATCCTCTTCCACACTGGTCCCTAGGAAGTGTGGGGAAACTGGCAGATTCGTGCATTACTGGTGGAGGTTTAACTTGGTATGGCCTTTTTGGGAGAGCAATACAGCAGTACCATCAAGACTTTATACACTTGACCCATCAATGCCACCTCGAAGAATTCAGCCTGCAGAATCACTGGCCCAATCCACAAAGATGTGTATGCACAAGGACATTCAGTGTGGCTCATCCAGAGGACAATGATTACATGCATTATAATAATCCATGCAATAACACAGTTTTAACAATGATAACACACACACATTTGTTTTTTAAAAAGCAAGTGAATAATGGCATGCAGGGAAGAAAGGTATTATCCTTTTCTGGGGGAAGAGGGAAAGCAAACTGGGAGACAGGGTTGGAAGAAGAGGAGAGAGGGATGATGCCCTGGGCTAGTTTAGAAGGTGAGAGCAAAGGCCCTCAAGCATGCTAGGAGGGATCTAATTTTTGTTGAAGCCTTTCACATATATTATGTCACTCAATCCTCAGAAACCCCAATGAGGTGGGGATCATTGTTCCCAGTTTACTGATGAGAAAATAGATGCCTGGTGAGGTTAATAAGAGTACAACATCGCACAGATGGGGTGTGGTACAGTGTTAGCTTTGCCCCAAGAGAGATCTGACTTTTGCCCTTGGCTCTTGGGAGGTCATCTCTGAGTCCTTGGATTATCTCACCTGATAAGAGTGCCTTTATCTACCTGGGGGATTTGGGCCAAACCAGGTAGTCTATACTAACAATGATGGATGGTGGGGTCTTTGGGCATGTATCAGCTCAACCTCCAGAGGGGCTAGAAACTAAGGTCAACCACTTGGATGGTCAGCCATGACTACATGAGGGGCTAGAAACTAAGGTCAACCACTTGGATGGTCAGCCATGACTACATGACTGAGCCCCAGTGAAATCCCTGGACACTAAGGATTGGAAAGAACTTCCCTGATTAGCAATATTTTGCATGTAATGTCACACATTGTTCCTCAGAGACTTTAGTGCTGTCCCCAGCTTCATCAAGAGAGAACAACTGCGGTCTCTGCACATGAAACTCTCCTGGACTCCGCTTGACCTGTCTCTTCTTTTCGCTAATTCTACTCTGTATCCTTTTATTGTAATAAGCCACCATTATGAGCCTATGAGCTCTCAGTGAGTTCTATGAGTCCTTCTAGTAAATTACTGACCTAAGAGGGGTCTTGGGAATGCTTGAGCTTGCAATTGGTCAGAAGTAAGGATGGTCTCGGGGACTGCTTCCTAACTCTTAGATGGTAAGTGGTGGAATTGGGAGTTGGACAAAGATCTTAGAGCCTCCAGGGTGTGCCCTCTCCCACTGCACAACACTCCCTTACACCGACCCATTGTATAACAATTGCCAAAGAACAGAAACTCTGCCACTGATACAAAAGGGCTGGGCTCCTGGCTAAACCCCACCCTTAAACCTGGAACTGTGGCCCTAAGTGGATATAGCTGACCCCATTTTTCCTCCCAAATGTTGCCTTTTTGGCCTGCCTGGCCCCTATCCCGTGCCCATAAAATACTTTAGCTGGCAGAGAAACACAAGTGGCTGAGTGGCAAGGATACAAGTGGCTGAGCGGTGAGCAGAGAAGCAACTGAACATCAGAGAGTATGGATAGACATAGCTAACTTCAGACAGTGCAGCTTCAGAGAGGGGCCCAGATGGAGACGGCCAGGCTTCAGAGAAATACCATCTTCCCATTCCCTTTCCAGCTTCCCTTTCACTGAGAGCCAACCACCACTCAATAGTCTTCCACACTCATCACCTTTCAAACAGTTCATGTGACCTGATTCTTCCTGGACACTGGACAAGAACCCGGGTGCCGAGAGGGCAGGGGTTGCCACTCTGACCCTACACTGAGCTGGTGGGCACTTGGCTATCTCTGGACAGCACAGCTGAAAGAGCATTGGTTGTAACACACTTGGATGCTGCTGCAGGACCCGCACAGAGCGCTCCCACCAGAGAGGAGCGACCAGCCAGTTCTAGCATTCGTTCGCTCTGGTTCCCGCACTCACTTGCACACTCCCTTCTGTCAGGAGTGGCCATCGGCAGGCTGAGTGAAATGAACCACTCCAGTTCCTGCCCACAAAGGGAGTCAAGGGAACAATCCTGTGTCACCATCACGAGGAAGAACAAGAGCAGAGTGATAGTCACGCTGAGCTCTAGCAAAGCAGGTGGATGAAGATGCAGAAAAGCAGTCAGAGTAGCATGTTCAGAAGGAATGTAGAGGGGCAAATTTTAGAAAGTTCCAGGAATATAGCACCCCCTCCCCCATAATGCAGGAGGGCAGGAAGGTAGGTGCAGTGAAAGCCAATGGGAAAAGCCACTAGGAATTTACCGTAGGTCCCCCGAGAAGCTACTAGACTCTGATCTCTTCTCTCATCTCTCCCTCATCATCTTCTGGTCTCTTCCTAGGCCAAGAGGGAAGGTTGCATCCCAATTTGCACACAGATTAAGGGAAGGAGGGAGGGAGCCAGGAGCGGGGCTCTGGTCCTTCTCCCATTTGGCCAGTGCACACATGCTGGTAATCCAAAGCAGTGGCAGATGTGGAGACCCCATGCGGTCTGCAGGTCCCCATCACCCCCAACACCTGTCACATTCTTAAATGCCTAGAATTTTCTTCCCCCCATGCTGGGAAGAAAGGAAGCACTCAGCCCAGCTCCAAGCTGGAGAGCATCTTTCCATCTGCTCTCTTACTTCCCATTTTGAAATTAAAAAATAAAAATCTCCTTGGGAGTTGCCTCTTGCCCACCACTGCTGAGGGCCAGCCATAGAGCTGAGCTTATGCGGTCATATGCCTATGTTAGAACTTTTACCTTCCAGATGCAGAGACCTCCCCAAGGCACATAGAATTAGTCTTCCACTGTACGTGGGTGAGATCCCATTCCTAGCTGAGATGGGGCAGTGAATGGGAAAGTTAGAGAGGAGGAGAGAGAAGCTTTGGAACAGCCATTAACCAGCCTTGACTCTAGGCCTGGGTATCAGACCTGTCCCTGCTCCAAGAGTGAGGGAGGCAAAGGGTGGAACTGCCCCACCGCCTGCTTTTTATACAGAGCATATTTCCACCTTTAAAGACTACCTTTGAATTTCACCTGCATAAATATATTAGAAAGAGTAGAATTTTTGGAGTCTTTCTCTACCATGATGAAAGGCTTTGTATTAGTCTGTTCTCTCATTGCTATAAAGAAATAGCTGAGACTGGGTAATCTACAAAGAAAAGAGGTTTAATTGGCTCATGGTTCTTCAGGTGGTACAGGAAGCATGGCAGCATCAGCTTCTGGGGAGGCCTCAGGGAGATTTTACTCATGGCAGAAGGGCAGGCATCTTCACATGGCCGGAGCAGGAGGAAGAGAGGTAAAGGGGAGATGCCACATACTTTCAAACAACCAGATCTCACTATCATGATGACAGCACCAAGGAGGATGATGTTAAACCATGAGAAACTACTCTCATGATCTAATCACCTCCCACCAGGCCCCACCTCTAACATTGAGGATTGCAATTTGACATGAGATTTGGGTGGGAACACAGATCCAAACCATATCAGGCCTATACCTGTTTATTAACAATAGTAGTAAAAGAAGCTATTTCTTGGCTGGGTGCGGTGGCTCACGCCTGTAATCCCAACACTTTGGGAGGCCGAGGCAGGTGGATCATGAGGTCAAGAGATTGAGACCATCCTGGTTAACATGGTGAAACCCTGTCTCTACTAAAAGTACAAAAAATTAGCCAGGCGTGGTGGCAGGCCCCTGTAGTCCCAGCTACTCGGGAGGCTGAGGCAGGAGAATGGCGTGAACCCAGGAGGTGGAGCTTGCAGTGAGCCGAGATTGCGCCACTGCACTCCAGCCTGGGCAACGGTACAAGACTCCTTCTCAAAAAAAAAAAAAAGAAGGTATTTCTCTCTCGTTCCTCCAATGAGCCAACCAGCAAGAAAAGCCCAACTGCAAACTCTCTCTCTAAACATATGAAACCTTGGTTTTCTGGAGGGTTTTGAGGACTGATCTTCTAGGTAGGTTGCATCATAATCCTGTGCCTAGACAGGGAAATATGGTCCCTCCCCAGCTGGGAATCCTGGAATTTAGAAAACCTTTATCAAAAGAGCTTTTCCTTTTGCAGTTGTCTTGCAGACATATTTGTGCTAATAGTCTTGAGAGTGATTGTGCCCTGCTAACCACAAAGGCATTCATTTCATCTTAATCAAATGGTTAAAACAAATTAAAAGCCTGATGCGGTGGTGCATGCCTACAGTCCCAGCTACCTGAGAGGGTGAGGTGGGAGGACTGCTTGACCCCAGGAATTGGAGGCTTCATTGTGCAATGATCATTCCTGTGAATAGCTGCTGCACTCCAGCCTGGGCAACACAGTGAGACATTCTGGTCCCTTCCACCCACCCAAAAAAACAAAAAAAACCAAAAAAACAAAAAAAACAAAATATGTTAAAACAATCTCTTTTCCGAAAAGCCCTTACTCACTTTATCTTTGTGATGTACTCCTTTCTGATGACTCAGCTTAAACATCTCTCATGTGAAAACAACAAAACAAAACAAAAACTCTTATTCTGCCAGACTCAGCCTCTCATCTGTGCAGCCGTGCACACAGTAAGGGCTTCCCTCATAGCATTTACTGCACTGCGTTTCCAACTGGAAGTTTCCTAGAACAGGGACCATCTTCCTCTCAGTGTATCTACAGGGTCCTGCACTATACGCTGCTCATAGCTGAAGCTATGAATGAGTGAATGTATGAATAAAAGTATGAATAAAAGCAGAGTTGCTATGAATATAGACAGTGCTATCTAATGACAGTAGCCACTAGCCACATGTGACTATTTAATTTTAAATTAACTAAAATTAAAAATTCAGCTCTTCAGTTAAGCTAACCACATTGTAAGTGTACAAGAGCTAGCATGTGCCTAGCGGCCACTGTATTGAACAACAAAGATGAAAGAACGTTGCTATCATTGCAGAAAGTTCTATTGAACAGCACTGGTCTACATTATGATGGGCACCAGCTGAAGTTATGCAGTGTGTGACCTGCATAACTGTTCAGAGTGGGCCTGTATGAATGAAGTACCTCCCTATGTGCAGTGCTGTGCTAGCTGCTGATCAAAGAATTACACAGACGTTTGTAGTCTAAGATAGGCATGAGAACATCAGAAAACACATTGTAAAGAATGGTCCCTCGATGAGTAAATACAGGCCAAATGAAGTAAACAGACTATGGGTAGGTATCATCAAATACATAGGGAATGAACAGACCGAAGAAGGGAAACATAAAGAAGTTTGGCTGTCCTCATAGCCTAAAAACTAGTGTCTGTTTCCCTTCTTATATTTGAAATGGACATTACTTGGCTAGAATTATTTCCTGGAGAAATAAACATATTAGACAGAAATAACCACGCCGGCCATTGAAATATAGCCAAAGAAAATATTTGTCTTCACGTAGCAACCACGGAAGCTCTCCATCACGGCAATCACTGATTTTTCTGGGAAAGGTAAGATTTATGATGGTCTTTCTGTTGTTTTCAATAAACCATGGAAATGTCCTATCCATTGTAACATTTCAGCCTCTAAATTGTCTTTCTGACATTGCCTCTTGCACATAGCAAATGTCTGAAAATCCTTCGTCACACCAAGTGTCTCAGTTTTCTTTTTTTAAGCTACCTCAGCTTTCTATCAGGAAATGTGGTCCCTGTATCTTGAGGGCCTTTTTCACTTCCTGTAGGCTATTTTTTTATTCTGCCAAAGAAACTGTCAGTTCCCCACCCAGCTGGGGAAAAGGAAGGGAGACTTCACCTTCACTTTGTAGCAAGTCAGGGGGACTGTGCTCCAGTCTCTAGACCCTAGACCCAAGACCCCAGACCCTTCTGTTTCTATCCTGTCCTGCCCCTGCCTCCACCCCCAACACAACTTCTGCTGGCTGGCAGGATCAGCAGGAGTAGGGCGTGGAGCCAGGAGGTCGCAGCTGAGAACCCAGCCTGTGGGCCTGGACACCCCCAATTAGTTTATCTTATTAATGCCAATTTATTAGCACAGAACCCCTGGGAAGTGGGC